CAGTCCCATACTCAAGTGATTTGTAACACACCCACTTTCTCACCAGCCTCACCTGACCTGCTGTAGCAACTTCTTCACAGCTCCACAGCTTCTTCTACATCTTGTAAACTCACCCTGCTTGCACTCTGTCAGCTCTTGGGTCACTTAAGACTAGCTGCTAGTGCTTCCCACTAATGCTGATCAGCCAGCAAAGCTCCCCTCTGCATCCACTATTGCATAACCCTCCCCAGCTGCACTTTTCAAGGATTAAGAAGGTGGGAGGACAGCCCCAGGGTGAGGTTTCAGAGGGCCTCCTCCCAACGCTGTACAGTCTTTGGCTTTGCATGAAGTGATCATGGCTGTGCATCCTCCACCAGCTGATCAGAGCTGTGCCCTCATCTTCAATGGACAGCTAAAGTCCAATAAAGCTTGTAATAGCTCTCTAATTTGTGCTGGCTTAGCTCAAAAGTCAGAACTAATGTTAGTAATACCCTTAGATCAAGTCATGACTGCACTCAATCTTTGGGTCTGACTCTGCACTTTTAAAAAAAAAAAAAGAAAGAAAACTTCTGCTAGAGGAAATAGGCTGGATGTCCAAAGGCTTGGACAACTTCTACAAAGCTAAGAGGAGGAGGAAGAAGGGCCTTAGACATCTCTCCTGCAGAGATTCACAAACAGACTTGTGGATTGTTATGTGCCTCCATGGCCAGAGCCAGTTTGAAGCATGTAGTGCATGTTCAATATCCAATAAAAGCACAGCAGCTCTGAAAGACCACAGAGGCATTGCAAAGTCGCTTGTTTTTTTCAGTAAGAAAAGCAACGATCAAGAGGACTTTACTCTGGTGCCCAGGAGGGGTAGAGCAGACCTGGGTCACGGGGGTGGATGTGCAGCTCACTCAAACGGAGCATAGCAACTCTAGCCCCAGCCAGGAGGTTACACTGCCTGTTTGCAGAGGGTCCTGCTGCAACATTAGGCTGCCTCTTATGCTCTGAATGTCCGGCTGGAGGAGTCCCTGCCGTAACAGAGAGAAAATTGCTACCTACAGGAAAAGCAACCATCTGCCTTTCACAGAGTGAAACTAGGAAGAGTTTAAAACTAGGAAGCCTTGTCTCACATTGACCTTTAGATGGGAGCTTGCCTCTTCCCACTTCTCTCAGTTCTAGCAGTGGGAACAGGTTAGCCTAGATTTAACCCTGATCGGCAGCAATGTTTTCGCTGGAACCTTCTTTCAGATAAACCACAGGAAACTGAGATACGTCAGTCATTGCCGGAAGGGTGCTTATGCAAAACCCAACCTTGAAACTCAAGTCATGTTTTCTTCTGTACATCACAGACCCAACCAACCTGGATTTCCTTAGCGCTTGAGTAATACAAAAGAAAACAAAGCACCCCCATTCCATAAAACTAGCATTCTTACCTGCACATTTACAAACTGCTCATAATCAACTCTAAGCTAAGATGCAGCTGAACTCGAACCTTAATTAGACTCAATTACAGAGGAGGGGCAAATAAATGTTGGTAACATGTTTTTTATTCTTACAGGGTTCTTAGGCACTTCCAGTGAGTAACAGAATAGTGGACGTAGGGGAGACATCCTTAAATCTAGAATAACTCCACTGGATTTCATCCCTTGAATCTCAGTGGAAGCTAGACACACATACCAGGCTTCAGCTCTTCAGCCGCGTAAACTAATCAGGTCTTATTAAAACTAGAGCTGAACCAATCATTCAAAAATAATTAATTTAGCCAAAAAAGTAATGACCTACAGTTTCTTCTGCTGCTTGTGCACTGATCATTAGCAGCTTATGATCTGCTTGATTTTGCTTCCTTTACCACTTCTACAAACAATTCTAGCCCATAGGTTTTCAAAAAAACATTTAAGATCTGAAATTTGAGCAGTGCAGGCCCTATTGCACTGTTGTGATCAGTGTCCGAGCCATGAAGAATACCAGCCTGCTACACTACAGCCCCTGGTTTGTTTAGGGTAGGTAATAAAGATCGATGTCACTGACTCTGGAGACTGCCTGTCCATCTTTTGCTGTATGGACTGCTGGTACAGCATACCAACTAAGTACTAACAAGTACTACTACAGCCAGTACGTAACTAAGTACTGATACTTAGATTTCTCTCTGTTCACAACATTCAGTTATTGCTAATTCAGTCTCATGGCACCTCTGTGATAAAAGTCTAAGATTACTATTGTCATCCTCAGTCTTCATTAAAAGTCTGGGAAACTGAGAGGGGGAAATGAACTAAGCTATCCCAGATCACTCTTACAAGCAGTGGAAGGGATCAGCACTCGCCCCCTCCAGGTGCCTGTCCTGAACCACAGTCCCCAAGTCCTCATCCATCAGCTTCCTTTTTCCTATTGGCTGACTGGATGATCAAAGATCCTTGAATTCACTTTCCTTCTCTTCACTACTAAATTACTACGACAGTATATTATAAGCTGAGGTTCCAAGCATTAATGCTTTTTATTGTGCACAGACAGGAGATGAACACAAAATACCTGGAAATTGGCTGAGCAACAAGATAGGGACTGTAAGATCGCCCCCGGCCCAGCCAAAACCTTCTATATATTTTCTCACTAGAACATGGACCTCCTTCAGGTTTTTTTTTGTTGGGGTGAGGGGTTTTCCATTGTTTTTGCACAGCCCAGATTGAATACTTTCAAAGGCAGTACAGGCTCCTGCCTAGAGTTTCCTGCTCTGGACCTAATTTTGACATGGGTTGTCAGCAAGCCACAAGAAGAAACTTATCTGAAGGTCATAAAGCCCATCACAAAGCTCAACAGCCAGGATTAGAACCGTAGTTGCTACTTTATCTTCTATTCCTTCGAGTCAATGCAAAATGTTACCAAAAGGCTTAACTACCAAATCACGTTAGGGATTCAGATGTATAGACATAGGAGCCCATCTAGATATGCCTATCAAAGGGCACATGGATTAGTTCACAGCGTGATTATAAGTGGTTAGGGAAGTAACAAATATAAAGAAAAAATAGTTCATCTGTATCCAGTGTATTTTAATAAGTGAAATAAATCCAAAGGAGTGACTTGAATTTCAGCAGCAGCCCCCTTTCCACTGACACAATGCAAGGTCTTTTTGCAGGGACATTGAGTGAAGATTCACTAAATGCCATATTGTTGCACGCCTGCTTATATTAAGCTTCCCAGGAGTCACACTCGTACTCTCAGGCTTCTCTGAAAAGCTTGCTGATCCATAGGGCTAATCTCATTTCCTGGACCATGAAGCATGCTGTAGTCTAAGAGTTATGGCTAATGGACGCATGAAACAAACATCAGTTTGCTGAGCGGCTGCTGCTTCCCAGGACTTTCAGGTACTTAGCAGCTTTGGGGCTTGCAAGAGATTTAACTGAGTGACGTAAGCTCCCTTGTAGGGGATGCTGTTCCTGATGTCATGTTCCCCACCTCCTGCGTCCAACTACCCCCAAACAGGTTCACAGTGATCACTTCAGTGTGCATCTTGGGACAGGAAGGGTTGTGTACAGCACTCAGATTCAGTCCTTCGCAAAAGGCAAGAGAGATGAAGAGATGTTCAAACAACTTATTCCCAGAATACATCTATGCAGGTCCCATACATACAAGTTTCTCAAGCACACATATGTGCAATGAGGTAGCTGTTTCTACTAAGGCAAAGAGTGTTACCTGTTTAGAGAGCTTTGGCTGTTAGCAGAACGGATGTTTTAGGCTCAGGTGGAAAATAGTAAGCTACATGTGTCTGACTTCTGGTTCAGAGCATACCTGGCAGATGCTGGACTTCAAACTGAAGCCAGGTTGTTCAGCTAATGGGTTCAAGGCAGCAGCATTTTCTCTCTTTAAGCACCTCTGCCGTCCCAGGCTGCAAGCACGGCACAGATGTGAACACATTAAGTTGCGAGCTCTTGCAAGCTGCTTTCCCTTGTGAGCACTGAATAGGGAATTACTACAACTTGCCTGTCATCAGGGAGAAAATCAGGTGTGATATTTCCTGGTTCAATTAAATACAACGACCACAAGGTCACAAACCTTCTTTGTGAAATGGGTCCGTTACATTTTGAATATTTCCCTTTGTTTCCTTTGGAAAGTGGTGACATGAAAATAATGCAATCTCCCACCATGAATCTACCAGCCCTTCTGTAATAGAAGTCCTTGAGGTTTGCACTCGGGAGCTTCATTAGATTAGCCATCACTACAGCACACAGGAAAGCATTTATATCCTGTGACCTTTTATAGATAAAGAGAGTTATACTGGTTTTGCCTCTAAAGCCAAGGAGATTTACACATACCGCTTTCTGCCATCACTGAGGGAGGAGAAACTGAGGCAGTAAAATCCTGACAGCCAGCACGTTATTCAAGAAGGGATACTGAGAGAGCTTCAAGCCTCAAAGCTTACGGTATTCTATCTGTAGTTTGAGGACAGGGACCAAAGGATGGGATTTTCATTAGAGCCTAGGGCTTTTAGAGGTACAAACTGTATTTGCTTTCAAGTCACATTTAGAGTCTTATGAAAACTCTCCGCAAGAGTTGTTATTACACAAGAGCTGTACATACAGCTCTTGGTGATTCACTGTCTGTTACCTGTTGCCATAGTGGCATCTGCTCTGAAGGGTAGGTTAGAAAGGGCCCTTCATTTTTCTCTGTAACTTCCTCTTCTGAGTTCTTCTGTCCTTTTCTCCTTTGGCAGGAGAAGTATAACTCCCCAATAGCTTTAGCACCTTGACATGACCTCTGGTTAATGCCATATCTCCAAAGCCTGAGGAAATCGGCCTACACTAAAAGATGTCAGGAGAGAGGTACTTCGTGACCCAGGGTTCAGGGCTCAGAGGTATAACTAGGGCAGTCCCAAACCATTTCTTCATCACTTCACATCTTGGGCTACAAGATACTTGGGAAGCAAAACCAGGCAACTCCTTTACCTATCCCTTTTCCTTTTCAACAGTCTCTAGTTTTAATTACCTCCTTTGTTCCTTTTGTAGTCAGGAAATTAGGAGACACAAATATGACACAATTACCTTCAATTACCAAAAATATTACTTTTATGGAATACTACTGTTATGAAAAATTGACTTATTCCAAATCTGAAGCAGTGAGAGACAAATATTGAGATTACAAGGGAATTTTCAGTGGCTGAGGCTCACCCATGGCCTTCAGAGAGGTGAAATAATCATGTTACTGCTTCTCCTTCCAGTGTCACAGCGGTTTGTATCCTTTAACCTCACACAATGAATCCTCTGTTTGCTTGGCCTTTAGAGATTCAATACCCTCCCACGGGCAGTTTGCACAGAGCAGGACTTCTCCATTACCTGCTGGTTTGATCCTGGCTGCACTCCTAAATGACAGCACTGCCTCTCTGTATACACAACACACACATGGATCACACACAAACTAAAATGTGCAACACAGCTCCACCCACGCTGTCTTCAGAAGACAAACTCAGCCACTGCAACAAAAAGTGCAAAGACTACTCAGTGTTTTCCACCTGACCCCAGGTTATGTTTCTTAGCATCCTTGGCAAGTCCTCTCCTTGTGCAGCATCACTTTAAGACATTTCAAGATTGGTTTCTTGCCATCCCTTCTGTTTGAATGTATGACTGCCAACAAGCCAATAATGGCTACACGTCCTGCAGTCAACATTTGTTGTTCAGCCTGGAGGGCCACGTTCTTATTTTTATTTGAATGATTCTTCTCCTGCCCCACAAGGACCCCCAATGGTTTTGCATTTGAGCTCCATTTGGTTTATCTTGGCTGCTTGTAGCAAAGTCTTGGTGCCTGGCCCAGCGAGGTAAGTCCTCAAGCAGGTCAAGACATCACCATGTCCCAGCGCTGACTCATGGCTGTGCTCTCACAAGGGTTGATGACAAGCTCTTTGGTACTCTCGTTTGTGTCCCCAATGGTCTCAGTGTCCAAACAGAAGCGCGAAGCTATGTGCTCAATATGCGACCCGACCTTACCCCATCGCTGTGGAGAGACATAGACGGGATAAGACACACGGGTAAAAAAAACCTCCTCCTCATCAGGCTTTTAGTATACTCTCCCAGCATCAAAAATACTAAGTTTTCCTGGCTTGATGCTGGCCATCACAGAGCACCCCCCAGCCCATGCTGAGCAGGGCGCACGCTGAGTGCTTCTGCTGTCAGACATACACTAGATTCATCAGAACTCAGCCTCTGCCCAGCTTGCAGCCTTCAGATAGATAATATATCACTAACGGCTTTTCCCCAGGTCAATGGTTCAAATGCCAGCTAGATGATTAACTTCTGAGAAATGCTAGCATCTGCGGGCTGACTGGCAGCCTGTGCAAACTAAATTGCCAGTTTCAGTTTGACTTCTGTGGATAAGTATCCAGATCACCACCCGCACTAACAGACATCCTTATCGACCCACTTATTTGAGAGGCAAAGGGCTGAATAGGCCAGAGTCTGTGCTCCCACACAGACTGTGCTTTCCAGATGAAGTCAGAACACCCAGGCGATCTGCTGTTCAGTAATATCTTGTTGCCCTTGCTGGAAAGAAAGGAAACTTGAAAAAATGATCCAAGGAAAATAGGAGATCAATAAAAGGGCTTACCTGCTTGTTGTCACCTTCCTTGCAAGGTGACAGCAGCACCTGGGAACCTGGGAAGAGGGTGTACACTGACAAGCACAGCTGTTGCTGGCGGACTTGATGGTTGTACGTGTATGTCCATTCCTGCAAAGAGAAAAAATTTCTTTTTTAAGAAAAGAAAGGAGGTTAGGGTTCATTCCTGGCATTTCTCTGACGAATAAGCAAACACTTCGGCTTGGCTCCTGCCTCCCCTGAAACCAAGGCAAACCTCACTGACATCAAAAGGCACAAGGACGAGTCACTAGGATGTTTCAAACCTCCCCAAATCTGCCGCTGTCACTGGAGGACTGTATGAACCACAGGAAAAAGTCTGCAAAAGCTGCTGGGAGAAAAGGGGTCACAACGAAACAATTTAATGACCAGAACTGGACTGTGGTTCAGAAACGGTAGAGGTGTGGAAAGGCAGCAAAAATGAGGCAGAAGCAATACTAACCACACAACGCACCACCCTCTCTTTCTGAGGAAGTGCAGCAGAAATGCTTTATGGCTGGCAGCAGAAGAGAGGAGGTGATCTGCAGCAGATAGCTGCAATTCCCTGGAATTCTGTTCCCACTTCCACAAAACTCAGGGGTAAAGTTCTCCTCAACGTCAAAGGAGCAGGACTCCAAATGCATTCTGTACTGGTTTGGTATGACCACTGCTATTCCTTTTCACCTGTGCTGTCTTGGAGTTTTCTTAGGCTGCTTTTTCTGTGTTTTTTCTTTTTTTGTTTTTTTTGTTTTTTTTGCTCTTTATCATCTCAGCCCAAGAAATCTGTGGAACAGCACAGACCCTTACCATAAGCTTACCATACATCAGGGTCTCTCCAGGATTATCCTTGGGAGAAAAAGAGGAGCGGCTGACAATTTGACCAAGATTTTCAAATGTGCTGGATAAAGGATCATGTATGTACACGTACACCCCTAAGCCCAGGAATATTTCACAGAGGTTTCCTCCAGTGCTTATTCCAGCTGAACACTTTCCATCATTATCTGTGTACATATTACCCAAGAGCACCTCCTGTGGATCTCAGATTCTCCAGGTAGGGATGCCTCAGCGCTATTTTTCTGTGTATCTAAGTAGGTAAGAGCTTTTTTGGCTTAAGGGAAACTGCAAATCATACTGTTACGTAAACCTGGAGAGTAACTTCTTGAATGCATTTTTTTTTTTTTTTTTTTTTGCTTATAACTTTGTGCAGGCACTAACTTTGAAATCAGAAAGAAGAAGGGTTTCCAAGGCCCTCTAGCCTGCGTGCAAAGCAGGATCAAATCCTGATGTTAAACCCCTCCAAGATGGATGTAAAGCAAGCAGCAGTGGGAGCAACTGGAAAGTAGCTTGCCAAACCGTGGCAGGAGCGGGAGGGGGGGGCTGGAGGCTGAACGGCAGGCTGGCATCACCAGCAAGGGCTGAAATAACCAGGCTGGTGAGAGCAGGCCAGAGAGCCAGGGAAGGAGAGGGTCATTGCAGTGGGCCACAGTTGTCAAGGCAGGTGCCAGGGTACAGGCTGTGAGAAGTGGGAGAGCCACTGGGAACGAAGGTGCAGAGGAAAAGCAAAACAACCACAAGCTCAGATACGGAGGAACCAGAGCTGTGAGGTGCCCCCAGTGGGAGTGAAGGGAGCAAGGATATTTGCAAGGGAGGGGAAGGCAGGACTCGACGTCCAGTGCTTCTAGGCTGAGTCTGGGAAAATCAAAGAGTAGAAAACGCTTCCGAGAGACTGCAATATTTTCTTAGTGCCAAAAGGACAAGCAAAGAACGACTGGCCCGATTTCAGAGCTCTAGGACACCTGCGGCTCCCAGTGACTTTGAATTGTGGAGGTTTTGGGTTACATTAGCCTGAGTTATTAGAGCAGGGAAGCATTTCCACCCCTTCGGTATTTGTCACAGTCAGCAGTTCTAACCCCTCTCCCCAACTTCAAAACAGACAGCTATAGGCATTTAGTCCCTGGGAATATAAATTCCACTTCATTCAGGTTCTTAGCCACCTGGAAGGGAAAATACACTTTTGTACAGCAGACCCAGACCCACAGGGACTTCACACTGTGCCTCTCACATCCCCTGACTCTTAGCCCAGTAACTCCCCACCATCTCATGGAAATCAAACCTGGCTGAACAGCCCGCTTACAGGCTCCTCAGCGAGAGCTGCTCAGGATCTCCGCATACAACAAGCATGCATTTTCAGAGCCATAGTCTGCACCCAGATGGCCGTCTGGCAACTATGTCTTCTTTATCAGACGGTGCAGAGTTCACCTGTTCCTACAGTGAACAAGTTCCAGGCATCCCAACCACGCATGCTGTCAGCTGCTGTGTAAACTACCAGCCTGGGAAATCATGTGCCAAATTAGTCCTGCATCTGTGAAGAATCAAGCCCTAAGGGGCAAGCTCCAACACCTGTTCTTGGCACCAGCACTGCCTACAAGCTGCTTTGAAAACCTCCTTTACGTTTTTAACCAGTTCTTCTTCGTTTTAACTCCAAACAGAGCTTGAGCTGCGCCGATGGCTACAAGGCTCCTAAACAACAAGTTAATTCTGCAGCTAAGTCACAGAGAGTGGGACTTCTTGACCTATATAATCTCTTTGCTTCCCTGAGGCATTTCATGGAGTACTGCTCTTCCCAGAGTTTCCCCATATTTTTTTCCAGGCCAGGCTCTGTTCAAGCCTTCCTGATACTCACATCCTCTCGAGGCAGGATCATCCTCTCATTTAGCAAAGCGCTATGGGACAGAAGGGTTATGGTAACCTTGCCTCCTAAGCTGCTATTCTCGTAAGAAGTGAGGCCTATATGGCTCAGATATATGTGTCAGTTTGATTACCGACATCAGATCTTCCTCCTCTTGCCCCCAGGCTGTCCTGCTACAGTCTTTATCTAAACTGACAGATTTTCACAAGGCTCCTCTATTTTGACAGAATGGCTTTTTCTGGAAGCCAGCCTTGTTGGAAATGTTTTGTCCAGTTCTAATCATGTCTCTTTCCTCTTCAGCCCTAGATGAAATCCAGAGAAAATGATGTAGCAAATGAAGGCTGGGAAAATAAAGTCACTTGAACACTGCCGAATCCATGAAAGGCTTTGAGTTAAAATACAGGCAAACGGCCATGTGAATTTTTAAATTTATCCTAACTCTTCTGTTATTTGTATCAGTCCAGATGAAAATTCCAGCTTCCTTCCCGTGAGAAACTACTTTATCTTCCTTCAACCCCTGGCACACTCAGCCCTCATGTGACCAGCACAGCAGTAACAACAGCAGTGATTTGCGCTGCAGGGTTTGTGGCGAAAAGGGCACAGGGTGCACCTACGCAGAGAGACCTTCAAAGAGCTAACACAACCCAAGGGCTGCAGACTGGCCGGAAGACATGACAACCGGGGCCGAGACCTGACACCTGACATGAAGTGAAAACAAACACACAAGATGGAACAGAGACCAAGGTTTCCTGGCTTTTCAAAGACAAGGCAGCTCCTCGTTAAGCGCTGGTGCAGCTACAGAGAGCAAAGAGGAAGGGAGCAGACTGGAAGAGCAGAGGCACCAGCCACGCACAGCAGCTGGCAATCGCCCGTGCACTAGCTGCTCTCCTCTGAAGCCCTGGATAACACTCACTCCCATCTGAGGCTTGAGACTATTTTTTAAGGCTTTAGCATCATTTGAGGAGGCACCTGTCACCGCTACTCAGCATTGCTCTGAACTGAAGAAATTATTTTAAAATGTGACCTTTGGCTTGGCATAGCTTTGCTGGCAGAGGGAAAAAGGAGCCCCTCAGCCTGTCACGCAACAGCCCGACAGGAGCCCAGCGTTACATGGCAGAGCTGTATGAGCTCCGCTACCGAGCTCGAAGAGGTCAGCAGCACCCTAAAGCCAGGATAGCAGCCAGGGAAAAATGCTTACGACGAAGCCTAGGCTAACCTCAGCCCTCATTTATTATCTTCTTACCATCATAAGAAAGAACTTTCCAATACTAACTGTTAGTACTCAATTGCATAGGTTATCTAAGGATAACAAAGTGCTTCACTCATCAAAAGGCCCCGTGATGTAACTGGCACTAAATTACTTCTTGGGAAGAGGAAGCAAAGTGCAGAGGGTGCCCATGTCAGTGCCAGGTGCAGAGCTGATGCAACTCCTGCAGCCTGCTCTCCACTCCCTCTGCACCAAACAGCCTGCTGGTGCCAAAGGGCTTGGCCAGCCACCTCGGAGAGCGCTCTGTGGGATCCTAAACCTTCTCTCTTTTCAGCCACAGCAACAGTCCTGGAAGCATTGTCTTTCATCCCCAGTGGCCCCAGAAGAGAGCAGGTATAAAAATGCCAACAGGCTCACTAAAGCCAGACTAGAGGCAGAATGCCAAAGTCAAGGAGGGAAAACTGTTCCCAATACAATCCCCAGAGAATGAGCTATTTTCTTGCTAGCCCTCTGCCATCCCTTCAGTATTTGTTCTGCCACACAAGCCACCATGGATGGCCACTGGTTTATTAATACGCCCCACCGTTTGGCTGTCCTGCTGGGCCACAAAGAAACCTCTTTTAGGCAACTACTCTGCCACTTACAGGGAAGTAGCCAAGTTGGCCTCCCTGGTCTTCAGGCAAATGTGTTTTCCCAGGGAGTGTATGATGTGATAGCCCCCTTGTTCCTGTGTCAGGTCACACAAAGCAGAACAAAAAAGGGACAAGTTGGGAGACCTGTGACCTCCTAGCAATATATCTGAGCATCCTCACAATTCTTCAACCTAGCTGGCATCCCACTAGCATCTCTGCTCACCATCAAAGGCACAGATCAGAGCCAGCGTCTTTGCTCTTCACAGGGGCATTCAAATACTTGTCTGAGAAAGCCTGTGATGATAGAGCTTCTGAGGCAAAAGTGATTCTGGAGACCAAAAAATGGAAAATGAAAGGATCTTATCAAGGACTGTGGTGAGTGAGGAGGTGGAGAATTGCTGAAGAGACAGGGAGAAGAAGAACAAAGTCTTTGGAGGTGGGAAAGGTCAAAGGAGTGAATTATTATGACTGAGATGTACTGGGAGGGAAAGTCCAGTTAGCTTGGATAGATGCTAGTCACTAACTCTGGAGCAGGTCTCTTGGAGAGCCACCTCACAGGACAGAGTCTGTCCTGGCTACTCCAAGACCTTACAGAGACGGAAGGGCCAGGTTGTAACCTGGTTGAGAGAAGACAGAGCTCTCCTACAGAGGGTCAAAGATGATGGGCCTCCTTGTGCCTCAGTGTCCATTTTTGTAATTCAGGATGGATACCGAACACCATCAGGGAGGGTTCACAAGACCTGCTCAGGGTGTAAATCTGCATAATTTCACTGCAGTCAGAGTATTATTCTCAGTTTGCCCAAACTATAGACCTGGCCAGAGGGCTCACAATATCCTTCCCAAGTACTAGAGACAGAAAAAGTCAAAATAACAAAGAATTGATTGCCATCTGATTGTTCATGTTCCTCTCCCCTCAAAGTACGGTGATGTTTGGCAGCTCAGGTCTCCTCACACACTGACCCAAGACTTCATGCATTTAACGCTGGAAAAGAACTTGGGAACCCCAGCAGGGAAAGCGCTACAGGAGGGGAATCAAGTAATCAAATTAATGCTACTCGCCTTAACAATAAAGGATCTAGACAGTCAGGATTTTTCCACTGTACTGGCTGAATGTCAGGAAAGCACAGTTTTGTTTTAGCTAAACGTATTTTTGCAATAATCAAGCTTAGGGCAAGCCAGATGTGACTTCAATTTTTTAAAAGTGAGGATCACTATTCAATTTTTTTACACCTGTACATGTAACTGAGTAACATTTGAAACTGCTGCGTAATCTATGCTACACAATCTGGTGACTAAAACCCCCACCTCACGGATCAGTTCTGGTGGTCTTGTAGCAGTTGGGTGATTAAAATATACACTTCTATCCACAATGACAATCTAAAAATCTAAAAATCCTAGTTCTATGTGAAGTGTTCTCTGTGGGTTGCAAGTAACAGATCACTACTCAAGAGAGAGAAAGAAGAATAAAAGGGAAAAGATCTTTCTCTCTTCCCGTCTGTTTATTGAATGTAGCCATTCAGTGATTTCTTTGTAGTACATTCTCCTGTTCCCTTACAGAGTTAGTCCTAGACATGCACAAGAAATTGAGTTGCCATCCAGTGGGAAACATTTGACCTACTGCAAACAGCTGCAGAAACAGAATGGGAAGATGAAAAGTTTGTGCCATGAAAAATTCTGAAAATCTCCTCAGAAACGTCAAAACAAAATGTGTTTGATAGGAATGAAACAATCCAACTTGCTGATATGCCATTTCTCATTTTAAAATATCACATCAAATTGATATTTCAGAAAGGCCATTGCATTTTGAAACATTGGCTTGAAGCAACACTTTCCCCTTTGATTTTCACAACTAGATTTTTTTTAAAAACATCCAGCTCATTGAAAGTTGCAATTTTCACTAAAACGCTTCTTTTTCTTCAGAAAAGTTGTTCCTGTAAAACATGACAACCTGCTCGCATTAGCTCACTTCTCTTACTGTTCATGTAAAAAAGTCAATAAAAAAGTAGAAGAAACCAAAAGAATTTTAAAATCCGGAAACCAGTTAAACTATAAAAACTGTAACTGTGCAGTACGTGCAGTTACATTCACTGTATTTTCTGAACTGACTAAAATTCAAGTAGTCGTTGTTAATTTTACTAGACTGTGAAGCAGATATTATTTTACTGACTAAAAGCAGGCATGCAATTGCATGCATAATAGATGCACATAAGGACATGCTTCATTTGCACCAAGAAATTAGGGAAGTTTTCAGCAGCATCCGCACGCTAGGCCTTTTATATGCATAGCTACCTGTTTTGAATGTGTAACCACAAGAGTTAAGGACGTACAGTCAAGTGGAAGCAAGTACACTACTGCCTATTAATTTATTTCATGGCATCCCCAAAGAAACAAGTGACTGTTATCCTCCCTGTTTTATAGATGGGAACACTGAGAGAACTTACCGACGTGCCCAAAATCACAAAGGGAGCCTGAAGCAAAGGCAAGTATCGAACCCACCATGTCTTTAGAGTCCTGCTCCAGTGAATCCGCTGCAAGGTGCACGTGCCTGCTCTTTGCTCTAATATTTCCAGGACTGTGCTTCAGAGAACACACACTCATTGATATAAATTTCTTTCATCTCAGGGAGATTAAAAAAATGAGATCCTCCCCATTAAATTCTCACTAGTTTAATGGGCAGTTTAATATTGAAAGAATGCAGACTATGAAGTTATAAATACCAGTGCAATTCAGTGCATTTTGAAAGAAATAAGGCTGAAAAATGAGAGGAAATTATAGTTCTCTTTGTCTTCCTCTGATCTCTGCACATGAACGACACAGGGCGTTCCAGGCCAGCAAGAGGGAGCGCTCAGTGTCGGCTAGCAAGGAGAAAAGTAGTCCATCCTGTTCTGGAGCTGCCTGGCTACTGCACCAATTCCTG